TGCAGCTCTTCCTTCTTCATTTGCTGCCATTTTGTGCAGCTTTCATTTTCATTTGCTGCTACTTTTGCAGCTTGAACACCACAGCTCCAACAGAAGAATGAATATTACCAATAGGCACCTAAGGTTAGTAAAACACGAAATCTCTTACTTGTCAGGTTTAATTGGTTGGTACACTGCTGACGGGGAACTCTCTTGTCGTGGGCAATTGGAATTTTTCCTCCGTTAGCCAATGTTTCCAACAACTCCTGATCTCCATTTTCCCACCAACCGCACCTTCTCTTCAAATAACGAATATTACAGGGCTTTTGTCTGAGTTTTAGAATTTGATTCTCAGAACTAAAGCCTCTTTTGCCCAGATGGCAACTGCTCTACAGTCATCCACACGAACTGCTCCTGTTGCTTTCTCCCGACAATTCACCGGTTTTTCTTCCAGTTCCCGCGGCTCTGGATCTGTTTCTTTCCCCCACAATATCTCAATCAAGTAAGTTCCTTTGCAACGCTTTTTGAATCTGGGTTTTCTTGTTTTTGATCTCTTAATTTTATCTGTTAGTATTGGAGTGCAATTGAACTTCTTGGTTATTCAAGTGAGGTCTATAGCAGTAAATTTGAGCGTTGAATTTTTTTTTTTTTTTTTCTTTTGGGAGGGTTAGTTGGGTTGGGATTTAAATATGAATGTTGGGTTGTTTGGATGTGCTCTCAAGAATTTACTTTTCGTTGATATCAAGTCTAAATTTCAATTCTTTATGTTGATCTTAATGGAGTTTTCTGTTTCTGTATTTCTATTCTCCATTTTGTGGTGTCCTTAAGTTGTTGTATCAACTGTTTGTTATGTAGTTTACTGGCACTTTATGTTAGGAATTCAGCACCTAAATAGGATACAATTTTTCCTGAAAGACTGGGTTCTAGTCTAAATCAAAAGGGATTATGGGAGGAACATTGGAGAGAAGTTATCTTAAGACAAATGCAATAAAACGAATAACTTTTTCAATAGTGTTCTCAAATTATTTTGTTAAGTTTTTACGGGTTGTTCAAAGAGATTCTTGTTCTGGCAATAAAAAGTATGAATGGTAACATGATATGGACAATAAATCATGGTATCATGGCAGTTAGAACTAGAGAAATTATCTGCAAGGAAATGGGAATGTTAT